ACGCTCCAGCAGTGCAGAGGCACGGCTTGCCAGTGCTGCAAGTTGACGGCGTGCCAACGTTGCTCCCGCAGGACAACAGCGCACCCGCTTTGCAGGTGCTCGCAGATGATTGGCGTGCAGTGCCTTGTCACCTGCACAGCGCACACACCAAGTCAACTTCGTGCTGACGACTGCTTCTGATCAGCCACGTCGACCTCGGGATACCACCACCGAGGTCGTCCTCGCCAACGTCGCCTGGGCGACCGTCGCGTGCCTCCGCAGAACCTCGTCACCCAGGTAACCTGGTCAACCGGGCAACCACGTCAACCAGCAGCTCCTATGCATGCCCGTCGACCTCCCAAGTCGACGGCCACCTCCAGTCGACCTCCCCAGGTCGACCACTACCCCCTGGTCGACCAGCTCCAAGTCGACGTCACTCCTGGTCGACCAGCTCCTCGTCGACCAGCACAGTTGTCAGCCGACCCCAAAGTCGGCTACCCGAAGTCGGCGTCACCAAGTTGACGCCCTGCTACTCGACGCCCAGCTGCTCGGCGTCCTGAATCCCTCTGTCGAGGTCGACGTCGGCCCCTCCTTCGTCGACCACCATGTTCGGTCGACCACGCCTAGTCGACCAGCCACCCAGTCGACCAGAAGGCCTGGTCGACCAACCAGGTCGACCAGAAGGCCTGGTCGACCAACCAGGTCGACCAGAAGTTCTGTCAGCCGACCACCCAAGTCGGCTGCCCCAAGTTGGCGTCACCAAGTCGACGCCCTCCGCAGGTCGACTTCCCAGGTCGACCACCCGAAGCTGGCGCCCTCCCGAAGTCGGCGCCCTTGCAGTGGCTCCCGTGCAGGTCGACCAACCTCGTCGACCAGCTCGCCCACTGCTACAGGTCGGCTGCACCCCTACACCCGACCACGAAGTCGGCTCCGCCCAAGCGAGGACGGGGCCAACACACAACTTCTGTTGACATGGAGGGGCAAAGACTATCAAAGTCGGGGTAGCCTTAGTGATAAGGAATTCATGTCCAATCGTTTTTGCAGCCCACCGTGATCATGCCACTAAACTTCACAGGTATAGCCAAAACGAGTATAAACAAGTATTTTTCAGGTGTTCAGTCCCAATATGCCCTCTTCGCCCCACTTCTCCTCAAGTGTGGTATAGCCACTCCGTTTTCTGTTGCAGCCCGTAAGTGTCGGCGGGTCCAAAGTTCCCGTCTGTCCACGTGCATTCCTGCCAAAATATTAAACGAACGCTCCTGCCATGTAGTAAAGCCCACTGCACTTGACAGGTCGGGTGGGACGGCAGTTGAGCATTAAACCATTCGGACTTCGTCTCTCCTCGCCGCCGATACTTTCGGGTGCAAAAATCCATTTGCGCCTGGCGAGTCCCTCCGGCGCCTTTTTCTCAACAATTGCTCTAAAACTGTCGCCCGTGCTGACGCTAGTCCATTGTCGCCAGCTGTCGAAACACACTCCGCAAGTCATGCATACAGGATAATGATGAGCCACCGTCGTCACTTGACGCATGGGACGACTCTGAAGTTGTCGCGTAGCCTTTGACCCAGGTCGGATGACATCAACAGCCACCCATTGTGACGACTCTGCGAATTTCGTGCAGGTGCCGACGCAGGACCCCCGACGCCAGTTGCCACACAAAGTTTCAAAACGTCGGTAAAAGTGCAGTGGAATAATACTCACGTCGTAATGCCGCGACGGCTACAGGTGTCGTTGCCCGGGGGGAGGGAGGTCACGGTCGATCGCGACCATTCAAGGCAAGGATCTTGCGTTGTCAAGGAGTGCCCCGTAAAGAACTTGGCCGCGAGGAGCAACCAGCTCGTTCTCCTGGCCAGCTAGCACGCAACTCCTGGACCCCTTCCCCTCCCCCCCCCCCAACCTGCCGAGAGGTAATACACTCTAAAAACTTGTTGGGGTAGGCTAGGAAAGTAGCTCTGATACCAGGTGTTACGAATGAACTTGCGGAGTGCGCCAATAAATGAATAACGAGATTGTTGAGCTACAGAATGACGATTCAAGGATTGTAGCGAGTTTAAATAGGGGAAAGGGTGGCTCCTAGCTAGGTAGGGAGGTCGGGAAAGGGTGGCTCCGGAGTCTATAATACGGAGGGGTGTCTTCTAAATAGGTCATTTGTGTTCATCCCCCCCTAGATGGGGGTTATCATTATAATTCCCCCCTCCCGTAGAGACCGGGTCGTTTTATAGCCAAGGATATAATTTTGATAGTTTTTCCTACTGCTTTCCACAACACATCCCATAACATGTTCATCAAGGAGGGGTAATAGCCAGTCACAAGGCATCGGTGTGACCCGCAAGATTGTGATGTCAGAATGAACGGACAGGAATGATTGAACTAACAGAGAAATCAGTACAAATAGCAAACCCTAGAATTGTGTACCCCATATAGGCTAACCCACTGTAGCCTAACCAAACACAACATATATGATGTTCAACACACCCCCATAGGCAAAGTGGGGGAGAACTAGGGGTCACAAGACCAGTCAAGGCAAAGCAAGGCAAAACAAGCTCAGGGTGGATCTCGAGGATTCCACACAAATTCCGAGCACAAGCAAGTGGTCACAAGACCAGTTCACATACAGGTTTATACTAGAGCAAGAGGTACAATGATCACAACCTAGCAAGAGTAAACATGCAGGTATATATATAGAGATCACAGTACACACAGAGTCAAGAAGTAAGCAAGTGAGGTCCAGTAGGCACAAGGCCTAGAAGAGTGCAAAAACGCTGATGGTCACAAGGCTGAAGCGCCTTGGTGAACACATCAGCAGTGTTGGCCTCAGTGGCCACGTAACGCAGACGAAGCTGGCCGCGCTGCTGCAGCTCTCGAGCAAGGAAGTACCGCAGGGCGATGTGCTTCGTTCTGTGCTCCAGTCTGTGCTCCTCACACAAGGCAATGGCAGCCTTGTTGTCGACGTACAGCACTGGAGGAGAACGAGGCCGCTCTCCCAGGTCGGTCAGCAGGTAGGTCAGCCAGCGTAGCTCCTGGGCAGCCATGGCTGTGGCGTAGATCTCAGCCTCACAACTGGAGCTGAGAACAGAGGAAGAGCGTGTAGAACGCCAAGAAACTGAGCCAGAGCCAAGGCTGAAGGTGTAACCCTGAGACGACCGCTGAGTAGCCTGGTCGTCCGCCCAAGAAGCGTCTGAGTGTCTAGTGAGTACCACTCGGTCTCGCCCTCCAAGCACAAGCCCCATGCCCGAAGTACTGCACAAGTAGCGCAACACCCTCTTAGCGGCATCCATGTGCTCCTTCCTGTGACGGCCAGGAGCGACATAGCGTGCAAGGATGCTAAGAGGGTATGCAAGGTCAGGTCGAGTGCAGGTCATTAGGTACGGGCCACTCGGCTCTACGGACTCATCAAGGACCGGTAGGCAGAGGAGTGGACTGGGGCGAGGAGTACGTGAAGCGGAAGCGCTGAAGGACCTGCTGCACCATGTGTGACTGAGTCAAGGTGATGGTGCGCCGTGCTCTGTCCCGGGTGATCCGCAAGCCAAGATAGCTTGTCAGTTCACCCAGATCTGTGCACGTGTGTCTCTTCTGCAGCTCCGACTTCACGTGGGCAAGCGCCGCAGTGTCAGCAGTGGCAAAGACCAAGTCGTCGACGTACACGAGGATGTAGAACGGCGGCAGCGAGGTGTCGGTGCGTAGAAACAGCGACGGGTCAGCAGTAGAGGGAGCGAACCCAAGAGCCGCAAGTGTCGTCCTCAGTGTGTCGTGCCACTCACGTGGCGCCTGGCGGAGACCGTAGACTGGCCGCTGGAGCCTCCACTGGGTACCAGAAGGAAACGACCCAGTGAAGCCAAGAGGGCGGCGCAGCCAGATCTCCTCGTGCAGGCTGCCCTGTAAGAAAGCAGTGCTGAAGTCAAGTGAGTGAAGCTCGTAGTCGCGCTGAGCGGCTATGTGCAGCAGCACCCGAAGAGTGGTCATCTTCGGGGTGGGGGAGAAGGTCTGGAAGAAGTCTACTCCCTCTCGCTGACTGAAGCCTCGAGCAACGTAGCGTGCCTTGAAGACAGGAGGAGAGCCCGGCGGACGCTTCACCCTGAAAATCCACATGCCACTGACGATGTTCGCCCCAGGTGGGGGAACCTCGTCGACGTAGGTGCGTGTGGACTTCCAGGAAGCCATCTCTGCGTCCATGGCTGTCTGCCACTGAGAGGAGTAGGGACCCGCCATCGCCTCAGCGTAAGAGCGCGGGGTCGGGATGTCTGGTGCATCCGGGTCTCCCTCAGGGGCAACTAGCATGGACACGAGATGAGGCAAAGCAGCAGCAAAGCACTGGAACTCCTCCTGTCTGTCCTCAAGGACGTCCGTGCCAAGAGCACACGCACCCCCGACGGACGGAGGACAGACAGACTCAGACTCAGCGACAAGGCTAGCAGCGTAGTCTAGACGACACCGAGCAGCAAAGTCAACCAACTCAGCGACCAGAGCAGACGCAGCAGAGGACTCAAAGGTAGGGTCAGTGACAACAGTGGCGAGGAGACGTGTGACAGTGGGACTGGCAGCATGACGGGAGTCAGACTCCGGGTCAGGAAGAGTAGGTAGAGAGGACGCAGGAGGAGACGGGAGAGGGACACGCTGAGGAGCAGTAGAGGGACGCAGAGTCATGTAGTGAGTGCCAGGGACAGGAGGAGGACGCTGACGCGGGACACGACGACCAGTGCGAGCAGTACGAACAGGCGACGCAGGACGAGACTCAGGCTCACGACGCTCCGTAAGACCTCCTGTAGGACCAGCGTAAGGAGAGGGAGCAGGGAGAGGCGAGGGAGGCGGTAACTGCGACTGCGACGGGACAGGCGGAGGACACTCTAAGGCTGGAGGAGGACAAGGAGGAGGAGCCTGACCAAGAACCTGCTGAAGGAGCGGTACGAAGTACGGTCGTGGCCGCGCAGTGTCTCCAGGTACGAGCGACCTCCATGACCAAGCCAATGCGGCGCTCAGCAACCCCATTCTGCTGTGGAGAGGCCGGAAGCGTGAACGACTGCTCAATGCCCTCCTGCTGACAGAAGGCCTCCAAGAGGCCAGAGGAAAACTCCCCACCTCTGTCAGAGTGCAGACGCAGGACAGGGAAGTCGGAGTGGAAACGCTCGCTGAGCTGGAGACGAGATCTGCGGATCCAAGGGATCAAGACATCAGGGACCTCACCCTTGGTGCGCAAGGGGAAGACCGTGGTGTAGCGCGAGAAGTCGTCAACAACTATCAGGAAGTACCTCTCCTGACCCTGACCACGGACGCGGGCTGGGCCCCACACGTCCAGGTGGAGCGTCTGCAAGGGAGCAGTCGTCGGGGGAAAGGAGGAGGAGTGAGGAGCGGCGCGCTGCCGCCCTTCGACACAGGGAAGACAGGGAGGAGCAGGCGAGGGTGGGAGGGGAGGGAGAACCCTGGGAAGACCAGAGACAAGGTGCCGTTTGTGCATGGCACGAAGGCGCTGCACAGACGGGTGGCCAAGTCGGTGGTGCCAGAGGACGGTGTCGTGCGCCAGAGAGCGACACGAGCAGGGGGCCGACAGCTGGCCTGACGCAGACGCGGACGCGGGCGCAGCTACCTGAGGGGACTCAGTGGTCAGTGTGTACAGGTCCGACCCCGGCTGCCGAGTGAAGGTAGCCAGGTGACGGCCCGTCCGAGCACACGTGCAGTGTGTCACGTGCTCGTAGGCAGGGGTGAACTGGTGAACACCCCCGTCCTGGAGCGCACAACCTGCCACCAAGTTCGTAGAGAACGAGGGGAGGTAGAGACCTGACAGTGTGCCTGACGGGACCGCAGGACAGGGAAGAACAGTGGAGGAGGTCGCAATGACCGGACCCCCAGAGGGGTCAGCGAGGGAGACAGCAACTGGCCGAGCAAGCGGCTCAAGGGCAGTGCGGTCACGAAAGAAACAGCGAGAAGCACCTGAGTCCAGGGTGAAGGTGTGCAGTGCCTCAGTCGACTCAGTACCAGGGGAGACAGACTCACTAGCACCTAGAGCGACAGCCTCACCATCACCTGAGGTGGCAGACACGCGAGTACCTGCAGTGGCAGTCTCACTAGCACCTAGAGCAGCAGCCTCACTGGTCAGAATGCCCGGGTCGGGCGGAACACGCAAGTACTGAGCACCCTCTCCACTAGTAAACATCGCATACATGGCAGTGAGAATAGCATCAAAGTCTAGAGCCCAGATATCAACTCCCTTCCTCTTTAGATCAAGCCAGCGGGGCAGCTCAGCGCCGTCAGGGAACTGAGCGCGCCAAGCGTCGTCAAGGCGCGAGAAACAGCGGTGCGTGGGGTGCGGCCTCCCACACGTCTGACCAGTGCGGTCACCAGTGCGGATGACGTACGTGCAGCTAAAGCCACGCGCCCCCGGGCGCTGGGCATACCACTCACGGGCCTCCTGGAGCGACGGAGTGTGCTGCTGGCTCAGACCACCGCCAGCGCCTCCACGACCACCACCGCCGCCGCCACCTCCTCGACCACCTCCTCCTCTGCCGCTGCCACGACCACCTCCGCCCCCGCTGCCGCCCCCGCCCCTGCCACCGCCTCCGCCGCTGCCGTCACCACCCCCACTGCCGCCACTAGCCTCTCCAGCCCCTCCTCCACTCCCACCGCCTCCACCCCCACCGCCCCCGCCGCCACCTCCACCCTTGCCCCCTTTGTTCCTGCGGCGCCCGCTCGAAGCAGACGCGGTCCCGACCTTCTCAGCACCAAGGAGGTCGACAGCAGCAGCAGAGGCGACAGAGGGGAGAAGGGGGGAAGGGGAACACCCCTCAAAGAAAGGGGTGCGGGGGTCGCCACGAGAGGCACCTACAGCGACGATGCTCGCCTCAGCTGCAAGGAGTTCCTTCTCGAGGAGGGCAATGGTGAGCTCAGTGGGGCAGCGAGCTAGGAAGTGATCCCTGACTGCGCGCAGAGAGTCAGGGAGGCGGGTGACGATGTGGTAGAGAGTGAGCCAGAGCGGGGGGGGGTTGCTAGCAAGGAACTCGTCAGGCATAGCAGCGCGGAAGCGGGCCTCACTAGTCTTGAGGTGGGTGATGAGGTCAGCAACTGTGTGAAAGGAGGCCAGGTCGGGGAACAGGTAGGGGAGTGAGAGGCGGCCTAGTGTGGCAGAAGCAGGTGAGGAGTAACGAGCGACGACAGCAGTGTACAGGTCCTTAGCAGTTTTGTGCTGGCCAAAGTGCTCGCGCTCATCTAGCGGCAGGGAGTTGCGAATGGCAAAGCGAGCGTGGGCGTCACGAGTCTGCCACTGTGAGCGCTGAGTGCTGTCAGCAGTGGAAGGAGGGGCAGTAGCATGGCCTAGGGCGTGATCGTACAGTGAAATGTCCTCCTTGGCAGTGAGCTGTAGGAAGAGGTGGAGGTCATCGAGCCAGGTGTCGAACTTCACTGGGCGGCCCTCAGCATCGAAAGCGAGTATAGGAGGAGTGGCCATAGTGGCAGTAGTAGTAGTAGTAGCAGCAGTAGCGGTAGCGGTAGGAACAGTAGGAAAGGGGCCGTTGGGAAGCTGTGCGCGGGGTCAACGGGCCGGCGTGCAGCTGAGGCGCACGGGCGGCAGCGGCAGCGGCGCACGGGCGGCAGCAGCAGCGGGCGCTACAGCGGCAGCGACTGCGGCGCACGGGCGGCAGTGGCGGCGGCACACGGGCGGCAGCAGCTGAGGCGCACGGGCGGCAGCGGCAGCGGCGCACGGGCGGCAGCAGCTGAGGCGCACGGGCGGCAGCGGCAGCGGGCGCGACCGCGGCAGCGGCAGCTGAGGCGCACGGGCGGCAGCGGCAGCGGGCGCGGCAGCGGCGCACGGGCGGCAGCAGCAGCGGGCGCGACAGCAGCGCACGGGCGGCAGCGGCAGCGGCGCACGGGCGGCAGCAGCTGAGGCGCACGGGCGGCAGCGGCAGCGGCGCGACAGGGGGCCTCTAGAGAGGCGAGCGCGGGGCTGACGGGGCTGTAAGGGGCTAGCGCGGGGCCGTACGGGGCCGTAAGGGGTGATCGCGGGGCCGACGGGGGGCCTCAAGGGAGGCGAGCGCGGGGCCGACAGGGCCGTAAGGGGCAAGCGCTGGGCCGACGGGGCCGTAAGGGGCGAGCGCGGGGCCGTAAGGGGCGGGCGCGGGGCCGTAAGGAGCGCGCGCGGGGCCGTAAGGGGCGAGCGCGGGGCCGTAAGGGGCGAGCGCGGGGCCGTAAGGGGCGGGCGCGTGGGCCGACGGGGCCTTAAGGGGCGGCGCGCGGGTCGCTAGGCCTTAGGGGGCCGTGAAAAACGAGGCGCCCTAGGGCGCAGGTAGGTAGGTAGGTAGGTAGGTAGGTAGGTAGCGGTGGGCCCTAAAAAAAACGGTCCTAGCGAAGGACCTGCTCTGAAACCATGTCAGAATGAACGGACAGGAATGATTGAACTAACAGTGAAATCAGTACAAGTACCTAACCCTAGAATTGTGTACCCCCTATAGGCTAACCCACTGTAGCCTAAACAAATACAACATATATAAGGTTTGACACGGGCTGCCAGTATAGTGATTCTGCGCTCCATCAGCGCAGCTGCATACGGGCTTCTGCGAAGTGTCATTGTCGGTTGATGCCATTAATCTTGGACCATTTTATGCCAACCGAACACTCGGGCCCATTTTTCCGAAGTTTATTTGTAGCTCCAGTATGTTTTAGCATCTGTTTTGTTGGGGCCATTTTTTGGGGGCCCGTTAAAAATGCCCATAATGGCGATAATGGCCATAATGCCTACCGAACTAGGCCAGAATTCCACCACGGAACAGTCAAAACGAGGCTGGAAATAGGCATAATATAACTAGGCATGGGCCACAGCGTAGGCGAGGCTCGGAAAGTAGGCGAACGATGATGCAGCGGCGATTCAGAAATAATTTGGGGCGAAAATAATGGCCGAATGTTATGAGTTGTACTAAACAGAGGGCACGGAAGACTTCTATAAAGAGAACATGATTACAGAATGCAGAAAAAATGAAGAGAGCGATCAAATATAGGGCGAAACTAGCTCGGCGAGAACCTCGTGATGTGCGTGGCTCGGAAATGTCGCGATTGGTGCGGGGCGACTCGGAATTGGTTCGGTGCGAAAGTGTAGGTCGAGCCATCCTGACGCGAAGTGCTCGGGCTGTCCTCGCTAGGAGCAGCCTCTATAGTAATGAATTGCATATTCATTACACTCTCCCACCTTCTAAATAAGGTGCCCTTGTACGTAGTCGAGTCTTGCAGTAGTGTGAAACTGCCGATCTCGGTTGAACCTGATCAGACGGTCTAGAAAGCGTTGATCGCATGGCTGACCAGTTGACCAGGCGAATTTGAGAAGAGTTGGAATGTCAGCCATCTAATTTCCAAGATGTCGACCCGACGATCGCGATTGAGTGTCGAGATGAAAGTCTGTCGATGAATGAAAGCTGCTGATGAGGTGGACGGCAGAGATGAACGCGATATTGGCGGGAAGCCTGACACGTATCAGAAGTCGGTGGATCCGAAGCCGTTGATTTTCGATGAAGTCATCGCGAGCGTCCGTCGTGCTGGATGTGTCATGCGAATGCTGTTAGAAAAAACTGACAAGTAGAGTGCGAGAGCACTCTTTCTCCCCCCTTTGAAAATAGAGTTGCCCACCAATATTGGATAGCTGCGCGGGTAGAATCTTCAACCTTCCTGTATGCCGAGGTTAGTCAGGGCAACCAAGTGTAGTGAATCCCCCGCTGAATTTTAGCAGCTGCCTGTCAAAGTTGTAGCCGGTGGCAAAAGGTAGTGGGCTTGACCTTTTAAAACTCGTCGGGTAAACCGCGAAGTACTTTTAGAGGGTTAATCGTTGTGCGCCTAGACTCGGATGCGACCCTTCGAAATAAACTTTACGATGAAATCTTTCTTCTTGTCTTGTAGTCGCTATTGCCACAGAATCTCCAGTTTGTCAGCTCCTACAATCCCGAACTTGCTGCTGTTTTCTTGTTGTTGTGGGAGAATCGAAATCCTTGATTATTGCAGCATCTCCAGCTGTCAACGCCTCCGGCAGTCTTGTCCAGACTCGTCGAGGCTTTTTTCCTGATCCTCTGAAAACTCCCGGGCAGAGGCGAAAAATAGGTGGTGCTCCTCCCCCTGACCACGCAATTATTTTTCAAACTCAAACTTGAAGTGCCGATGACGTCAGCTTCACTGTCGGCGTTGTTCGGACTCGCGAACTCTTCCGGGAAGGGGCAAAAAACAGCTGTCATCGTCTCCCCTCACCTGTTGCAAAATTCTTCCTCGTGTTGTCGCTGGTACCCCTGAGCAGCTTTCGAATTGTAGGGCTACACTTATAACGACGAGTGCTTTAGCGCGCTTAAACAAGCACCGCTGCAACTCCGCTGTCGGCACAGATACTGTCAGCGGCCCCGCCAACTCTGTTAAGACTCATTCTCGGAACTGCTTCTGGTACCCGCAAATGTCGGAAATAAAATCACACCACGTAAATCTTGGTCGCCTGCAGGCTGTCCTCCAAAAGAACCGGTGTATCTAGCGTGCCCACCCGTCGCCACTCTCATCGCCTGTGGTTAACCACACTAGCAACCCACCAAAAAGGAGGCGCTTTTCCGTGTGGAACCCAGAACTGTGGGTATACCAGGATTGAATCTCACGTTACCTAGCCCGCATCAACGCCGCATATCTCACCGTAGAACTTTCCCAGATGGCCTCGAAATACACCGTAAAACTTCCAAACAGTTGGCGAGCAAACGTTCGTCTTCCACCGTCGAAATGTCACCCAAAAATCATGGTTGCGGCAATAAGCCCCGAAGTAATTTCTGCCTTGTAGCCCCGACGTTTCCGCCGTTAACCCTGGTACTCCGACGTTCACCCATCTTCGTACCTGTCAGAATTACTTAGCAAATTCCAGGTATGGCATCCACCCCTCGAGGTGCCTCCATGTGTGAGATATCCGACCCTTTCGGCCTCCACCGAATAGACCCCGAAATTCACGGTGGAGTGGTGTACCGGCTCAACCTATCACTCAAGTAGCTTGAAGCGGCATCCTACTGTTTTCGCCCCCTTACAATTTTGCATGCTGCCGTTTACCCAGCGTCCGCTGTTGTCGGGTGAGGCATTCTCCGTGTTGCCCGCGATTTTTATGGCGTTCGATGTGTCATGAATACTAGGAGTGGGGCCTAGGCTTAGTAGCCTAGGCCCACACATAGAGTAGGTAGGATGTGCCCTAGGACTAGGGTTTTGGGTATGCTAAGGAGAATTGGAGAAGAGAGAATGGAGAATGGTTGAACTAGCAAGAGTTGGGATACAAGTAGGAAACCCTAAAGGGTTGTACTCACTGTTGAGTACCCCACTGCAGGCTAGACAAGTAACATTCTGACACACCCCCATAGCCAAAGTGGGGTGCAATCAGCAGAGCAAGCAAAGTAGAACAAGCTCAGGGTGGATCACAATGTCACCACACATTCTGAGCACAAGTTCAAGAAGCAACAGTTTAAAGTTCACAACTATGAGCAAAGCTAGTGGTAGTCACAACGGGCAAGTGAGGAGGAGGAGAGACTGTGAGGGGAGAGAAGATAGGAGACGTCGTTTGGAGCTGCAGTCACATGGCGGCTGACTCAGATAACTGGTGCAGCACAAGCTCTCAGTGGCTACCGAGGTAAGCACCCCGGAATACAGGAGTAACAGGCTCTGCAGCTGCGGCAGGAGCATCGGACCCACGGGCGACTGGTGTAGCACTCACTCTGCGCTACCGAGACAGAGCCCCGGACTTCAGGTGCTGCAGACGACAAGACGGCAGCCTCGGCTCAACCTCCCCCAACTGTCCCACACACCCCCCACACACCCACTGCTTCACCCCTAGCTCCACTCCCCCTTCACTCCTGAAACCCTAAACCCTCGGCTCCCACACATCCACCCCCCTCAGCGGCAGCTGCAGCAGTGGGAGACGAGGAAGGAGGAGGAAGAGGAAAGGGGCGACGCACACGGAGCACCCCCACACCCGCCACCCCCCCACCCCTTGTGGTGGGGGGGGGGGGGGGGGGGGGCAGAGCAGAACAGAGCGCACGAGGGCGCAGACAGTAGCAGAGCGCACGAGGGCGCGGGCACGAGGCATGAGGCACACGGCACGAGGCACAGGCACAGGCACAGGCAGAGGCACAGGCACAGGCACAGGCACAGGCAGGTAGGTAGGTAGGCACGAGGCTCGAGGCACAAGGCACGAGCAGGCACAGGCACAGGCAGAGGCACAGGCACAGGCACAGGTAGGTAGGTAGTAGGCTCGAGGCACAAGGCACGAGCAGGCACAGGCACAGGCACAGGCACAGGCAGAGGCACAGGCACAGGCACAGGCACAGGCAGGTAGGTAGTAGGCTCGAGGCACAAGGCACGAGCAGGCACAGGCACAGGCACAGGCAGAGGCACAGGCACAGGCACAGGCACAGGTAGGTAGGTAGTAGGCTCGAGGCACAAGGCACGAGCAGGCACAGGCAC